AGAGCTCCCACATAGTGCTGTATGAATCTTCATCTGTAATCAGATATTTTCTCACTATGGGTCCACTCAGCTGAGGTATGGAATTGTTGTATTCTTGTTTATTGGATGATATAGTTTAGGACTTGTGGCCACATGTTAAAATTACATTATTGTTATATTTGGTTAAATTGATGTGTCTTGTATTAATTGTGAATAAACTGTGTTTTGATTACTTCTTGGCTGTCTGACTTTGCTAACCTCTGCATGTTTCCCGTAGATTGGGTTTATTTCTAACACTCTCTTGCAGCCTCTGACTCGACCCCGTTTCTCCGAACCCCGATGCGACTGCCCAAGCTGAGTTACAGTGAATACCGGCTCAGCCTCTGAGGCACGCACACGCTGAGTTATGGCAAAAGACCAGCCCAGCCTCTGAGGCGTGCACACGCTGAGTTACGGCAAAGTCCGGCCTAGCTTCTGTAACAATATAGTGTTTTGGGAACCATGATTTTCCAAAGTAATTTATATGTTAAAGTACCTCATTTAAATCTTGCAGCCTACTGTAATGTTTTCTATTCTATTATATTGCACTGTGAGGTTTTTTTTGTGTTACATCACAGTCTGAGAGGGTCACTGATTGTTGGGATCTGACAGGGAGGAGTGACCTGCAAACCACATACAATTTACTTGAAGCATGAGAAATTTTTCAATTTTAATAAAAACTTCAAAACAATACAAAATGGAAAGTTAATCATCAAATTACCATCTGTTAAATCAAAACAATGACCAGTATACATGAATTATCTATTTAATAATTAATAAGCAATGAAATTTGATACAATTTTATGTTCACTAATTAATAAACCAATATTAAACTGTGACCAGCAGATGGCAGTAAAGCGCTTGTGAAGAAGAGGCCATCAGCGGTACAAAGCACTGGCTGTACAGGTTCCCAGCAGACAATCCTACACTGCACATCAACCTCTCTGTGTTTGAGTCTAATGGTGTGACTGTACAGACTGAGCAGGGCTGTGTCAGAGAGGCCTCACTGTAGTTAGCAAAACCATTTATTTTA